ATAATATTTCATTTGTATGTATATACCATGTTTGATTTATCCACTCATCTTGTAATGGACATTGGGTTTGTTTCCCCTTTTTCTCTATTGTGAGTAACGTTGCCATGAACATGGGTGTGCCGATATCTCTTCAACCCCTACTTTGGATTATTTTGGATATATGCCCAGAATTGGAATTGCTGGATCATATGATAGTTCTACTTTTAGTATTTTAAGGAAACTCCAAACTGTTTCCATAGCAACTGTGCCATTTTACATTCTCATCAACAATGCACAAGATTTCTACTCTCCAAGAGGGCAAGTCAACAGTTGCTGTTTTCTGTTTTGTTTGTTTTATAATAACCATTCTAATGAGTGTGAAAAACGATGGTGACATCTCACTGTAACTTTGATTTAAGTGTCTCTTTTTAAAGTATGTTTTATTGATTACATTATTACAATTGTCCCAATTTTTCCCCTTTATCTCCCCTCCACCCAGTACCATCCTTCCCTCTAGCAATCCCCCTCCCTTAGTTCATGTCCATGGGCCATGATATACATTCTTTGGCTTCTCCATTTTCTATACAATTTTTAACACCCCCCTCTCTATTTTGTACCTACCAATTATGGTTTTTAATCCTTGCAACTTTTCCTCCATTCTCCTCCTTCCCCCTCACAGATGATAACCGTCCAAGTGGCCTCTGTACCTATGATTCTGTTCCTGCTCTGGCTGTATGCTTTGTTTGTTTTCTTTTGTTTTTTTTACAGTCAGTTGTTGATAGTTGTGAATTTATTGCTTTTTTAATGTTCACAGTCTTGATCTTCTGTTTCTTAAGTAAGTCCTTTTACCATTTCATGTAATAATGGCTTGGTAATAATGAACTCCTTTAGTTTTACCTTGTCTGGGAAGCACTTTATCTGTCCTTCCATTTTAAATGATAGCTTTGCTAGATAGAGTAATCTAGGTTGTGGGTCCTTGCTTTTCATCACTTTGAATACTTCTTGCCAGTCTTTTCTTGCCTGCAGAGTTTCTTTTGAGAAATCAGCTAATAGTCTTAAAGGAACTCCTTTGCAGGTAACTTGCTGCTTTTCTTTGTTGCTTTTAAAATTTTCTCTTTCTTTTTTGCCTTTGACATTTTAATTATGATGAGTCTTGGTCTGATCCTCTTTGGGTCCAAATTGTTTGGGAGTCTCTGTACTTCCTGGACTTGTATGTCTATTTAATTTGCCACATTAGGTAATTTATCTTTGATTATTTTTTAAATAAGTTCTCAATTTCTTACCCTTCCACTTCTCCTTCTGGTACCACTGTAATTCAGATGGTGGCACATTTGGCGATGTCCCAGAGTCTTCTTATACTATCCTCAATTTTTTAAATTCTTTTTTTCTTTTTGTTCTGATTGAATGTTTATTTCTTCTTATGTTCCAAATTGTTAATTTGAATCCCAGCTTCCTCTCCTTCACTGTTGGTTCCCTGTAGGTTTTTATTTATTTCACTTAGTGCAACCTTCATTTCTTCCTTTATATTGTTTCCACACTCAATGTGTTTTTTTAGCATACTGATCACCAGTGGTTTTTTTTAAGATTGTATTTATTTATTTTTTTGAGGGGGTGGGAGAAAGAAATGGAGAGAAACATCAGCGTGTGATTGCCTCTCATATGCCCCCTACTGGGGACCTGGCTGGCAACCCAGGCATGTGCCCTGACTGAAAATTGAACCAGTGACCCCTTGCTTCATAGGTTGGCATTCAATCCACTGAGGCTCACCAGTCAGCGCTTGATCAACAGTGTTTTAAACTCTGTATCTGATAAGTTGCTTATCTCCATTCTGTTTAGTTCTTTTTCTGAGCTTTTGTTCCGTTCTTTTATTTGGGCCATATTTCTTTGTCTCCTCAATTTGGCAGCCTCCCTGTGATTGTTTTTGTCTACCAGGTAGAGCTGTTTTGACTCCCTGTCTCAGTAGCTTGGCCCATTGTGAAAAAGGCACCTGAAAATTGTATGGGGCACAACCTTCAGGAATCACCAGGGTGGGGCAAACTACTTCACTGCTTTGTGGATCTGTGTGAGGGGAGGGCTCATGGAGGCGTCTATACCACTGCCTGGCTTCTGGAGGTTTGCCCAGTGCTCACTCCATTTGTAGTCACTTTGCCCACGCCCTGTGACTGGTGCCCTTCCAGCTGTTGCCATGTTGAGAAACCCAGAGTGGGTGGGTCAACATCCATTTTAAGATTGTGCAAGCCCTTTAAGCAGAGTTTCCTGAAAATCTGGCAGTTTCTTTTGACACCCCAACCCCCACTGGTTTTTACAGCCAGAAGTATGGAGATCTATCTTCCTGGTGCTGGAACCTCGGGTTGTGCAGTCTGGCCTGGGGCTGGGATTGCTGTCTCCCAAGGTATCCCTCCCAATTTCTATGTGGGACCGTCTATGTTTGTTTTGCTGCCACCACCTCTCCAGACCACACTGTGTCTCCTTGCCCTTTCACCTGTCTCCGTGTCTCTGCCCCTTCTACCCATTTGGATGAATGTGGCTTCTTTAAATCTTTGGTTGTCAGACTTCCATACAGTTTGATTTTCTGGCATTTCTGGGTGTTATTTCCTTTGAGATTTAGTTGTAATTATTTCTGATTGCAAAGGGAGGGAAAGTGTGTCAACCTACGCCTTCATCTTCACTGAATTGAATATCTCTTATTACTAGTGGCATTGAATATCTTTTCATATATCTGTTGGCTATTTATACTTCATTTTTGGAGAAATATCTATTCAAGTCCTATTCAATACCTGTGTTTAAATAGGGGTATTGTATTTTTGTTGTTTTTGTTGAGTTCTGGGAGTTCTTTATATCTTCTGGATATTAATCCCTCAGCAGTATATGATTTGCAAGTATTTTCTCCCATTTTAAAGATTACTTTTTTATTCTGATGATTGTGTTCTTTGATGCATAAAAGTTTTAGGTTTGAAGTATTTCCATTTGTTTGCTTTGGTTTTGTTGTTTGTGCTTGATGTCATAACCAAGAAACCACTGCCAAATTCAACATCATTAAAGTTTCCCCTGTTTTATTCAAAGAGTTTCTTAGTTTGGTTATACACGTAGGTCTTTAGTTCACTTTGGGTTGTTTTTTATATAAGGTATAAGATAAGTGTCCAACTTGATTGATTTCTTTTTGCATATGGCCAATTTTCCCAATGCTATTTGTTGAAGAGACTTTCCTTTCTCCATGGAGTGGTCTTAGTACCTTTACCAAAGATCATATGATCATATAAGCAAAGGTTTATTTTGGACTTTCTATCCTCTCCCACTGATCTCTATGTCTGCCTTTCTGAACATTTCACTGTTTGGATTAATGCAGCTTCGTGATAGTTTTCAGATCAGCAAATGTGATTCCTCCAAATTTGGTTTGCTTGTTTTTTGCAAAATTGTTTTGCTATTCAGGGTTGCTTGAGATTCCATATAAATTTTAGGATGAATATTTCTATTTCTGAAAAATAAATTCCATTGGGGTTTTGATAGAAATTATATTAAATCTGTAGATTATTTTGAGTATTATGAACATCTTAATAATATTAAGTCTTTTAATTCACGAACACAGATATCTACCCATTTATTTGTGGCCCATTAGAGCTTGCATTTCCCCTAGCTATAGCAATTTCTTCAGAGATAGGCTCATTGTCCTTTCAGAGCTGATGGGAAAAAAGAAAAAAAGTTTTTTAGGTTTCTGAAGCAAAAACAAGCTTTATTCCCATGTGCCTTGAACCTGAGGCTGCATAGAGACTGAAGCTGTTGTCACCATCAAGCCATGAAACCTGTGATGAATGTCAATACAGTTAAGGGCTGAGATAAGAGATAGAGTGATACTGAGCATGGATGATTTTTTTTTTTGAACCCTGAAGCCATCATTACTCCTGATCTTTTCAGTTGTGTGAACCCAAACAGTTCCCTTTACACCACAATCAGGTTTTGGTTGACATTTCAGTCACTTGCACCTGAGATCCTCATTGATTTAGAAAATAATACAGCTTTTTAAAGAGTGGGTGACCAGGCAGCCAGACCTTGGCTAGCAGTCCTAGGCCTGAGCTTGCAGCACTCGGAGCAATGCTGCTCTTGCACAGAACCTAATTCCTGGTGGAGGCCAGTCTGCAGTTCAAATGGTTGGCCCAGCTTACCAGCCAGCCTGGCAAGAATTGCTGGAGTTTTCAAACCTATAACATCTGAGAGATCCTCACAGGTTACTCTTCCCTTCTTCCCCCTCTATTCCCTGGGCTCTCAGGACCAATTCTCTTCCTCCCATCAGCACTGTTCTCAGGAAAAGATTTCTTTAATTAATTCATTCACTCTAAGGTTTACATGGCTCATATAGTCCTACTTGTTAGAATATCTACATTTCAAAAGGGGACAAAGTATGTTAATAATGAATAAAATTTCTAGTGACAGACATTTATAGACACATGAGAGTAGTCACTTAAATAAAATGTTAAGTTGCTTTGCTTCACTGTACTGTCTTTGAAGTCTGACTCACTGCAGATGAATATGAATTTGTCTATGCTGTACAGCTCTGTATTGGTCATAACACAATGAAACAGTACTTGGTTAAAAATTATAGAATGCAGCAATGCACAGTATGCCTCAAAATTTACCTTTCTCCTATGCAGAAAGGTGCAAACTATCCTCAGAAACATACAAAAAAAATCACCATTACCTATCTTTATTGAACACATTCTGTGTCCCACATGCTAGACATTGTTCTGAGGACTTCACATTACCTGATCTAATCCTCACTGACACTCTAGGAAGTAACCACGATATAAATCTCATATTGCAGATGAGGATTGATGCAGGGAAATTAAGTAACTTGTTCAAAGTGGCACCACTACCAAGCCGAAGAAAACTATGGAACAGAAAGAGTTAGAGGCATCAGGGCAAAATCGGCCTCTGGAGCTCCTCTGAGATGCCCAGGAATCACAACTTGGTAACTGACAAAATCAGGCACCGATACAACATTATTTATTTTATTTTATTTTTCTTAAATTGGCCTCTCGTGCCTTTAAGAGCCAGCCCTGTACTCAGGACAGCCCTCCGAAACTGAGAGGGAGACTGCTGTGTCCTGCCGGACTCCCCAGTTACAACTGAAATGATTATTTTAGAATCACAGAAGGTAGAAGTACCCAATGTGCCACTAAAACGAGAGAAAAAATAAGATCCAGGCAGAGTATCAGAAATAAAACTAGACCCCACATCTAATAATTCCCCAAATCCAGTAAGTCTGTGCTCTCTGCATTTATTCATTCATTCACTCACATATTTTGCATACATATTCCATAGGAAAAAATTCATTAACTGCAGATGGAAAATGCTGGCAATGTCAAAAGTAAATATAAACATTTCATCAAAAGTAATAAATACGTTCCTTGCTCTCAAATAAACAATAATATTCGGAAAAGTGGGATAACGCACTGATCAGCCAAATCTGCCTGGGGTACCAGAAGGACTTCGCATGGGAGAAAGAGCAGGAACTTTCAAAAGAAGCCAAAGCAGGGAAGAACAATCCAGGAGAGAAGGTGAGGTCAGTCAGGAGGTGGCAGGTGAAGTATCTGGGGACCGCAGGGGCCTGGTTGCAGGAGGTGAAGCCAGAAAGATGGGCAGATAGGGTCATGAGGACTGCTTATGCCAGGTTGAAGAATAATTCTTTTTCTTTAGTGGGGTGGGTTATAGCTGTTGTTGGTCAGATTTGCAATTGGAAACAAATCAAAATTTTAAAAAGCCGTTGAGAAGGGCTTAGAGCTGGGTTGTATGCCGCGTGGGGGATTTTAAGCACGGAAAAGATCCGGTCAGATTTGCTGGAGGGGAGAAGTGGGGCTGCCTCTGAGGAGCTGAGAGGAACACGAATGGGGTTGCAGGGAGTCAGGTTCAAGGGCCATTGCATTAGTCATATGAGAGCTCACCAGCACCTGTCTTAGGCAAAGCTGCAGAGATGGGGGCAGAAGTGCCTTCCGAAGTAAACTCACAGGCCTTAGTCACAGAATAGGTATAGGGAGTGGAAAAGAAAAGGAGGGCAAGTCTGCCTCCCTGGTTCCTTTCTTTTCTTTTTTACATTATTAATTCCATATATATAAACACACACATATATTACCTATATATTCCTTAAATAAATAAGTATTTATTTAAGATTTTATTTGGTTACTTGTTTTGTTTTTTAAATTTATTTATTTTCAGAGAGAGGGGAGGGGAGGAAGAGAGGGAGAGAAACATCAGGGTGAGAGAAGTAGACATCAATCAGTTGCCTCTCCCACACACCCAGATGGCGACCTGGACTGACGGGGGGTCAACCAGCAGGCTGTCTCTGAATCCACTGAGCCACAGCAGCCAGGGTTGCCTCCCTGGTTTCTCAGCTGGGAGACTGAGTCTATGGTGAAGCTTCCTTTTTCTTTTCTTTTTTTTTTAAACACTCACCTGAGGATATATGCATTGATTTTTCTCTTTTTAAGGAAGGGGGGGAGAGAGTAACATTGATGTGAGAAAGAAACTTCCATCCACTGCCTAACACAGAGGTCCTGACCCCAACCCTGACAGGGGATTGAACCCTCAACCTAAGCATGTGTCTTGACTGGGAATCAAACCTGCAACCTTTTCCTATATGGGAGGATACTCCAACCAACCCACTGCCAGGGCCCTACTTCTTTTCCACACACCTGCAGGTTGCAAACAGTTCACAAATGCAGAGCTGAAAGAAGTAACAAGTGTTAAGCTCCCTTCCCCTCGTCCTCCTTTGCTCCAATGCCACTCCCCAAGGTACAGCCACTGTTGATATTTTTTGTATTCCTTCCAATGATTCTCTCTATCCATGCCGAACTCAGTGAATTTTTTAAACACAAAGAGAACTACTGCTGCAAAGACATATTGCCAAATCACAGAAGTCTCTAGAGGGAATGTGTGCAGTCAACCATGCACATCACAGTGTTGGGGGCAAAGCTCCAGGAATGGAGGCACACCTCTGGGAGTTCATTCTGGGCTACGTCACACATGCAGCCCTTGTTACAGCAGTTATTCATACGCCCCCCGAATGGCTGTACAATGCCCAAGTGTAGCACAGCAGTAATGAAAATCAATACACATTTTTAATTAACAGTTCTCCTATAATGTAGGTATGTTCATCTCCAAAGTTAAATATAAAACATGTTGCAGGGTATTCAATGCCCTGGAAATGCCAACAGGATTGTTTGTATGTACATTAGCTTCCGATTGGAGAATTAGCTATGGCAATTTTTCTTTCTCCTGTGACCTGGATAATATTACTTCTACAAATTACAAATGAGGCAAATGTCATAAGGATGTGAAGAGATGACTTTGATGGCGTATGAAACCACAGTTGGATGGGATCTCTCTTTTTGACTCTCTTTCATGCACACAGTACATAAAAATCATTCAAATTTTCAGAGGAAAAACAAAGTCTACCATTTTTATAGAGCTAAAATAAAATCATATTGCACACACTAAATTCTAAATATTTCTCTAGGGAATTCACTGGTTAGGAGCTGCTATCGAAAACTAAAATGGAATAAAATAGACCCATTTAAGAACTTTAAATCTTCCTAAAGTTTTGTTTCAGAGAGAACCTGTATCAAAAAATATATTATAATGGTAGTAACTACACCTTCTAGGACATTAGGCAAGCAAATAATTTAAGTCTAAATTTGTCAAAAATTTAAGTCATGTTTAGTACGTTTAATGTGAAAATAAAAACTAATATTTATCAAGAATTAATTCTTAATTCACTGATGTTCTTAAAACATGCTTAATATATCAACTATTTCCACTGATTCATCTCCCTAGCTCAGAAAGTAATTATAACATTTATTGAGCACTTATTATGTGACAGTTATTATTATTCCATTTCACCCTTGCTGTCCATTATTATCTCCCATTTTAGACATATGACCATTACGGACTTTTAAAGTTGGGTATTATAGACTCAAGGGATAGTTAACCAGGATTCTCTGGGGTGACAAAACATTCAATGGTTTCAAAAATAGTTGTGCAAGGAAGCCCTGTCCAAATCAGATATTTGGAGCTGCTTCATGACTGAGAGTAAATTGCGCAGGTAGGTTACAGTATAAAGTGGAACTTAAGTTCTTGGTTCCACCCCTGGCACACAGAGTCCCAACTTAGAAACATTATCCTTCTGCATCTTGGACTAGTGGTTGCCAGGATAGGGTGTCCAATGTGGATGCAAAAGAGAACTGCTTCCAGATCTTGAATTAAGGAGACTGTGTATGTGTCTGGGGAAGTTGCAGTGGGTGGCGGTGGATACATGGACAGGGCACATACATCGTCAGTGAAATGTCACTCCAAACAGAGCTGTTGTAGTAGAATTTGTTGCTATCAAACAGACCAAACAATCACATGTCTGTTCCCATGAGAATATTCACAAAGACATTTTATTAAACAAAAAAAGCCAGATATATAAGAGTTCATGTGGTATATTATTCTTATTTGTTTAGAAAGCAGGTGGTGGAAGGAGAATATATTTAAATCTATGCTAAGATGATCAGAGAATGTAACAGGGAGTTCCATAAGAAATTCCCTTGGGGGAGAGAGTCTTTGAAGGATAGAAAAGTTAATTTTCATTGTTTAGCATTTTATCATTTTTAAATTTTGTAAACAATGTATATACATTACTATTTCAGATCAGTGATGATGGTGATGATAGATGATAGATAGATAGATAGATAGATAGATAGATAGATAGATAGATAGATATAGATAGGCTTTGATAGTCAGCAGGATTTCTTTCACTTGCCCCTTCATATCCACATTCCACTCTTCTGCACCCTGCTCCATGCCCTGAGAAGCAAACCATTAGTATCCAGTTGGATTTGGCCAATGTGAGTACCAGCAGCAGATCAGAGAACAGGAAAGGAATAGAGTCAGGTCAAAGTACTTATTTAAATTGGCCCCCAAATTAATCATATAGTGTAATTTTAGGTGGCAATGTGAAGAAAATGAAACAGTCCAATGGCATGGAGAGTGGTTATTCAATGTATGCTGTTTAGGTGCCATGGTCCAGAAGGACCCTCTGAAAAGGTAATATTTTCATATTACCTGAAATCAGCATAGAGAGAAAGGACCAGCTATTGGAAGAGCCAAGGGATAAGTGTTGTCAGCACAGAGAAGGGCAAGAGTGAATTCCCTGAGGTGGACACACGCACTGAGTGTCCTAAGAATAGAAAGCAGCCTTGCATGCTGAGCCCAGCGTGAGAGGGATAAGAGAGATGTCATCGGGCAGACAAGTGGGACCACAGGCAACAGTAGAGTCCGTAATTGTATTATAACTGCAATGGGAAGTCACCAGAATGCATCCATCAGGAGCAGGGTGAGACCTGACTTGCATTTACATTTATAAAGGATCATTGTCTGCTAAGTAGACAATGAATTGCACAAGGGAGAGAAGTTAAAGGCCATTGTAAGAGCACAGGCCAGAGACAATGATAGGACAAGGGTGACAGCAGGGGAGATAGTAACACAAGGTCAGGATCAGGATGTTTTGGAGGGAGAGCTAGAAAAATGTACTGACAGATCGGACACAGCAGAGTAGGCACGATGCCAAAGGTCAAGAACAACTCTTTGGGCTTTGGCCTGTGCTGAGGCGGAACCGGGGTGCACTTAACAAGATGGGAAAAGCTCAGGATTGGGGACAGGGAGTACGTTTTGTTTTGTTCCTGTTAAATGATTTACCCAATTACCATAATTTTATGGTTCGTCTTTCAGAGTTCTGGGGGAGATATGAATCACATTCTTATTTTTGGAACTTCCCCACCCTTACCCCATAAAGCAAAGAACCAGAAAAATCAAATAATTTAATTTTTCTCCCTTCTATTTTCATGCAAAAGAAACACATGACAAAGAAACCAAAGTGGATTTATTAAAAAAGAACGTCCAGCATGTCATAAGGTTGATAACAGTTTCAGCCTAATCCTCTATACCAACTGTACCCCACTCTGCCTGATGGCTGATGGTCCAAGTGGCATTGGTGATGACCCCAGTCACCACAGAGTATTAGAGTGTCTTCTGAATCATCACAGAAGACGAACTCATGTTCAGCATAAGGGTAATGTTAGGTAGGCACTGCCTTATGCATTTTATGCCCTCAGCAGAACACCAGAATGA